CTTCACTTCCTACTTTTTTTTGCTCTCCCTTCAAAACCGTAGGAGGTTCGTGACATAGAGTAATGAATCCACACCCATGCCATTCATATTCTCCATGAAAATGAAAAAAATATACTTTTTTCTTTACGTTTGTATTATTCATTTAGAACTCGTCCACGTGTGTAAATGTTATATTTTTCTTACTCATATAGGTGTGTAGATGAGTTGAAATAGTTGAGTCTTTACTTCCTCTGTTTTCTTTTCTATTAATAAAACTGCTCATATATGACGTAAAGTTGTAACGATACACTTTTCTTGTATGAATATGAACTGTTTTGCTGCAGAATCACTTGAAAAAGAAACGACTACGAATATAACAATACGCATGAGTAAAGATGAAACTGATTAAAAGATTATGCATAACAAATACATTTTAAGTTTCAAAAGAAAAAATGCTGAGTATCGAAGAAAAAGAATGCATATGAATGATGTGGGAGTACAGAGTTAATAACATGAAAAGAAAAGAAAAAACTGTTACATTTTTAGGGTGTGAGCGCTGATGGGTGACGGTGCAGTGTGCGACGAAAAGAGAAATCCTCACCTAACAATCATACATGCAGCATGGCTATCATGCAAATGATGTTTTTGCCAGTGTCTTTAGTCAGTTGAAAGAGCTGCTTTAGTAATGCTAATCGTATGATGATAAATATCTTGTTGTTTTCCAATATGTCAAGAAGATATCTGGCTCATTTAAACATAGTTCGATTTTCTTTAAGATCTAGAATGGTCAGTGTCTACGAAGAAAATAATATATATTTGATCAAAAGAAGAAACTAATGATTAGATTGAGTTATTCACATTGCTATGCTGCAAACCATCTGCAAGATAAAGATCTCTATTATCTCCGCTTTCATTTTTAGAAAGATTTAATTGAATGAGTGTCTACATTCAAAACAGAAGTAAGAGTTTGAAGAAAACAAAACGATGCGGTCCATTGTCTGATTGTTTCGGTTTCAGTAATCATCAGTAGAGGTGTAAGCCATCCAGCTGCACCGCCGCCACGGAATCGGAGATAGTTTTACGAATTTTTTAGCCGTCGTCGCTGTGAGCAGGTTAGTTCAGCTGTTGCACCGCCGCCACTGACATTTTCAGGAGCAAAAACGTTTTCTTTCTTTTTTCTTTTGGTTGTGAAAGCCGCCGCCGGTGCAGAAAAGCATAGAGTCTAGGAGGCGCCGCAGCCATGGAAAAAATTGGATCATTAAAACAGCCGCCGTCGTTTAACTCTTCGGCTTACACCTCTAATCATCAGACCGCCTTCTCCAATGCAAATTTTACAGCAATAACAAAAACAAACTCTAGATAAATCTTTTTCTTTTCTTTATAACACTGGTACGAAAAAACAAGACGGTAAACTGGATAAGGAATGACAACTAATTGTCATTTTTCTTTTTCCGTATCAGTATTATGGGTATGGATGTGGAATTTTTGTTAACAAAGGACTATTGACAGCGACGACCGTCCTAACTTTTTAACGATTCATTTTATGTCACAAGACGTTGTTAAATTGGCAAAAATTTCTACACAGACCGTAATAAGAAAAACTACTGAAAAATGATTCTTAGCATATTGGATAGCACAGGTCTTTCGCCTTCTGGTCAGTAGTGTAGATGCTAATGATCAATGGAGAAACTTACTATTGATATTTTCGAATACAGGAAGCAATTATATCTTTCTTTTTCTGTCTTAGCTTTAAAAATAAAATAAAACTAAGATAATGGCTACATGTCTCTATCACATTCAAATATGATTAGAAGAATCAAATCGGTCAATGTAACTATTCTATGGGTTTGTTTGTTTGATCGAATTGGTATGTAGCAAAAATAAGTATGTTTACATTTGCATCTTTAAGAAAACAACCGAAATCTTACATAAAGAATCGAACAATGGGGAAGGACAGGATATTTTGGTTTCATTTGATTTTCATTGCTAAATTTAATTCAATCATATATGAATCGATGAATTTCAAATTCTTTACCATTTTGATGTTATGATCGAGATATTTTCATGAGACTTTGAATTTTATTAAGTTCTATCATTTATCACATCACTTAGAATTTCTTTGAATGATCTGCTTTTTCTTTTTTTTTAGGTTCATGAAGCGATATAGTTCTTTAGAGCTTAAAAAAGACTTTATTGGATGATATATACGAAACATTGGAAAGAAACTGTTTTCATAGAAAATTAAGAATATAATCTTGATTCATATGCTATGTATGTAAAATATAAGATCACAGTCCATAAAATGAATGATCTAGACAAAAATAATATAGATAGAATTCTAAATCAATGATTTTTACAGAAAAAAAACCTAGTATTAACAATGGTCAACTAGAACAACTTTCATTCACTCTTTATCTACAATATATTTTTCTCAAACTATTACTCATTCATTTAGAAATTGTTCTTGTCTAACTGATAATTGATGATTCACCTGTATTAAAATATAGAACTATAAATAATTCTTCAAAATATAATCTAAACGTAATGAACAATATGTCCCAACAACTATACTTTGCAAGTGCTGAATTTTCTGATTTTCTTATTGATGCAGTTGAGTCTACCAACGATGATCTAGTTATGCTAAGTTTAATGGAAATGATTCATAAGGAGAAGAAAATTTGTGTAGAATATCGAAGCAGGATAAAAAGCAATTATAAAACAATATGAAGTTGTCCTATGATCTGTATATCGTTATTTAATACACAGAACATTTCGACATTTAATAGAATGCCTGTTACTTTATATTTTTGAGAATTTAAAGAATAAACATTGATTGATAATTTCTGATAAATCGACATGGTGATAGGAAATAGTACATTGTTTTCAAATATGTTGACAAATCAATCGATGTTCTGTTGAAAACATTTCGGTAGATCGTCTTTTTTTCTCGAAAATTAAAAAGAATAATTGAAGGATAAATAATAATGAATTATTAAATGTCTTCTTTTCAATCATCCTTACATATATTACATAAGAGTAGTTAGAAATTGAGCTAATTTATATTAATTAGAAGCCTTGCATTTTATGTGTTTTGACCAGTATTGCATTGAGATATACATTATATTGTTTGTCTCAAATTTGAAATAACAATAATGTTGATATTGTTTTATTTCGATTTTGTCGAAGAAAAAAAAAAGAATTTTTTTTCTTTCTATTCGATAAAAATTTCGTTGTTCTATTAAAAACATCATAATATTATTACACTTATATGTTTTTTCTTAGCTGTTACCTGTCTCATAAGCAAAAAAAAATATTTCGTATAATATTTCTTCGATTACAGCACCATTCGGTTGTTTTTTGAAATCTCTCAGCATAAAAAGTATTGACAAACATCGATTGTGAGGGTACGTAGGAAGTGAGGAAATTATGGCGTTTCTTTTTTAGTTCGTTATATAAGAACTTCTTGGAATATTTTGCAACATCTTTCAAATAACGTTCTAAGTTGTTTTTTTTCCGAAATTCATTTCAAGTCTGTCAGTAGAGAATGAAAAAAAAATTAATTAGTATAGCATTTTGAAGGGTAATAATTCGAAAGTAGGATACTTTTTTAAAATAATAATGATAATAAAATTATGAGTTTAAACAATTTGAAACATCTTTCAATTTCAGCTAGATTTTATTATCCTTTCTCTAAGGCAAACGCTCTTTAGAGATTTTAAGACCTTCTTTGAAACACTATACTTTTTTTATTTACAAGTATGATGAATTGAGTATGTTCAAATAATAGACACTGACTAATTAAACAAGGTTTTGCATTGCTTCTAGAGACTACCACAATGGAGAATACATGCATCACTTCTTAAGACTTAATAAATGATATTTTTTTTATATCTATTTTTATTTCATTGAAAATGGAACAAAGCTTTCAAATTTAAAAAAAATGCATAAAATCAGATCAATGCATTTGCTTTCGTGATTTATGTAGTGATTACTATTGGCTAAGTTGAAGAATATGGCAAAATCAGTTAATAAATATTCAATGGAAAAAAACATTTGATGTAATCGAACGTAAGGCTGTTAATTCAGTCGGATGCCTTGGTTCTCTCTATGATGGTTTTCGAGATATTATAACTCATCAAACAAGCCAAAAATGTCAAGAACAATTACTAAAGTCATCTGAATCAGCACAATGTAAAATTATAAATGGTAGTGTGGATCCAAACATCAATGTTCTTAAATGTATTGATATTGAACCAGAATTACGGCTAAGTTTATTGTTGAACGTAACGAAACGATCTGGAATAGCAGAAGTTCTTAATTATCCTTATCGTATAGATCAGTACACACGCTTCTTATACTATTCTTGGACTTACGGTAAACAACAATTTCTTGAAAATGAGGCATGCACCCGGGAAAATATGACAATATGGAATTCTCTACTTAATGCTACTCATATGATTATTTCGATAACTTTTGGAATTCATGTTGTTATTGTTTTTCAGTTACCAAGAGAAGATAACATTACCAATAAGATCGATCGTATATTGGAAAAAATTCATGATCAGTTTCTGAGAGAAAAAAAGAGTACGCTGACACTTACTTGTGACGAAGATGATTTACTCGATAAAACTTTCGATACGAAAATTTACTCAAATATATCTAATTTAACCTGTTTATTCAATGTTTCTGATCTTTTTTTTGAAATTTATATGATCAAAAAGTATTCAAAAAATGTTTATCCATTAAGCTATACTCTTCGACCGGTCGCAACCTTATATCCACCTGATAGAAAAACAAGTATTACATTGTTGTATTCTTTACAAACAAGAAAAGCCGACCAATTTAGACTCTTGCCTTGTTTAGTCACAGACAGTATTGAACAAAATCTACTTCAATTGAGAAATTTGTTAAGATTTGCCGTCACATCTCTGGATGAACATATACCTCAGTTATTGCATGTACATTTCTTCGAGAAATTTAAGAAAGCTTGTACTCAATGGTTTAGTCTGAGATCTATATATATGAGTGAAATTCAACAATTTTCTAAATTAGTAATTGATGCTCGCAGTGGTCTTGAGAAAACTCCCGAAATCGACCAAGCACTCCAGAATAATGTACAACGAACGATGAAAAATGATATTAATGAATTAATTCGGAAGATTAGTGACTTAGAAAGAAAAGGGCATTTGATCACAGATTTGTGGCAGCAAAGATTTGAATATAAGAATGCAGCTAAATATAACATCGACAAAAGTGATAATATAACAACGATTGAACGTAAGCTTGTAGATAATGATCGACGTAAGCTGATTCTCTGTTCTAATGATAATCTAAATGAAAATAATCCTTCAAAACTTAAGGACTTACGTCGAATATTACGTGAAAAACAGAGACGTAATTTGACATTACGCCTTATCTATGCTGATTTTTCTTATTCTTCGTTTCGACTGCAGGACATGATAATATTACCATGCAATGAAATTGACTATAGTGAAAATCATTCGAAGGAGCAAGTATCCTTTCAAATTAGTGGTCCTCCCACTCCTCGATCTTTACCAGTACCATCTCAATCAGCGTTAGTACCAATTGATAAAACTATTAATATTCTTCTTCTTGGTGAAACTGATGTTGGTAAATCAACCTTTATCAATGCTTTTGCTAATTATCTTACATTCGATTCATTTAAACAAGCCGAATCAAGTGAACCTATCGTAATCATTCCTGTCTCATTCATGATGACAGTTGGTGATAATTTTGAAGAACGAATAGTCAAATTTGGTGAACTCGATCGTTTTAACAATGAAAATTTTAACACTCTAGGACAATCGATAACACAACATTGTAAATCTTATACATTTAATCTTAAGCGTAGTGAAGATGGTAATCGAAGAAAGATGCGCATTATTGATACACCTGGTTTTGGTGATACACGAGGTACTGATCAAGATGATCAAAATATGCAACATATTTTACAATACATCAATAATGTTACACATTTGAATGCTATCTGTTTTCTTCTCAAACCAAATGCATCACGATTACATATATTTTTTCGTACATGTCTTATTCAATTATTTTCTCTTATTGGTTCAACAGCTCGAAATAATATTATCTTTTGTTTTACTAATGCACGATCAACTTTTTATACACCGGAAAAAACAGCTCCATTACTCAAAACTATGCTTGCATCAGCTTCGATAGATAATATTTCTTTCAAGAAAGAGAATACATACTGTTTTGATAGTGAAGCATTTCGATATTTAGTTGCTTTACAAAATGGAATTCCGTTTACCGATGAAGAAAAGAGAGAATATCAAATGAGTTGGTCAATATCAGTAAAAGAATCCAATCGTTTGATGGATTATATTAATAAAGAACTCACTGAACATCGTATAGAGAATGAATGGCAAACAATTAAACATGCTCAATTAGAAATTTCTTATATGATTCGACCTATATTAGAAACAATGAGAAACACTCTTCGCAATATTATTTTATTGAAGAATAAATCGAATCAATTCATTAAACAAAATGCAAAACCTCTTCACTCAAGAGCTACTCGGTGTCTTTCGTGTAAAGGTGATCTTGAACAAGTTACTGAATTTTGGATTTTTTTCTACTCGTACACATGCAATTGAAAAAGATGGTTGTCTTATGTGCATGTGTTCTCTTGATCAACATGTTACAATCGATTATGCTCTCAGCTATACACGTTCGAATATTATTTCCTTCGATATTCAAAATACAATGATTGAGAAGTTATTAACTACACTATCTCATGCGAGTATTGAATTCGCTCATTTTCTCATTCATACAGCTTATTCTACAAAAGATGATCCATTTTTGAATGGTTTGGTTGAAATGATTGCTGAAGAAACATATACCTGTGAAATTAAAATATCAAATAATTTTAATAAACAATTTTGCGAAGAATTGTCGAAACTTGCAAATGAATATGAACAACGAATGAACAAAAAGAAATCGATTCAAGAAAATATCAATCTACCAACTGTGTA